TCACCCTGAATATTCCATTTGAGACTGAGCCCACGATTACAGGACCACGACCTGCAGGGGTCTTTCCCTGCTCACAAAAGAGGGTCGTTCAGCTCGACATAATAAATATTCCAAAACCTACTCTGCGAAATCCAGTAGGGTCTGATGCAAGCGTTGTTCTTGTTTTTCGAATCCAGCGCCAGCTTCTCGTAGCACAATGGCTTCAGAACAGAACAATTATCAATTTTTCCTTGATTTTTTTATCGGCACAAAATGAGCAAGTCTGCCCTCTCACCCTTGTCCCTCTGTGTTCCATCCCCCCCCTCCGCAATAATTGTCAAAGGCTTCACGTACCCATATGAATATCGTTGAAGAAAAGCGCATGGTCATCGAGATGGGACGAGAGGTCCGCGAAATCGCGCCATCTGAAAAATCGATAAGTGACAAGTGAAGTGGTTGGGATAGGTGCTTCCATCCGTAAGAGGACCAGAACTCTTTGACATGCTTCCAACGGTTTTTTTGGTTCACTTTAGCCACGTGGGTAATACAAAAGAAAAGGATGCATCTTTGGGTAGAGCCGTGATGCAACCGCACGCGTCCGACATCGTTAGACGCAACTGGATGTCACCTTTCTTCATCAGTATTTCGAATTGACTGGTTCTTAGCTACACACAAACCTTACAGCCATCATCACAACCATCAATAAGCGGTTAATTACCTATTTCCCACTGCGACACCTTCGAGTTCAAGACGCCATAGCATCGATGCCGCATCCACAATATCCAACATGGCACCGCTTTTCTTTGCACGTGGTATGATTTGCCTGATAATTCAGAAGATATAAGATAGAAGACATACACTCTACTTCACCGCGGTCGGTTGGGCGTGTCAGCCAGTATGAGTGCTCACAGCATAAGAAAGGCTTCTCTGCCTTCTTGTGGAAAAACCCGCGCATCGCGCTCACGAAAATTGCTAGAAAAGAGAACACGAAGGATATGATACAGGTCATACCGCTTTGCTCGCTTCAACAAGTGGCAGAGAACGAGTCTGGCACCGCGCCAAACGCAGCCGCACTGACACGCCCAACCGTCCGCAGAGAACTACACTATAAAGCCGTGGCGCAACCGCACGCGTCCGACATCGTGAGATGCAACTGCATGTGACCTACTTTTTCAGTTGTGCCAGCTTCAGCATGAAATTCGAAAAAACCTCACGGTACAACTGCTCTGTCCGCCGGTGACGTAAGGTGTTTTACGGTCGCGTGCTGGCCGCGAATCTGGCACGCCAGCTTCTATCAACTGTGTGCAATGTGGGAACGGCTCCAGTCCAGCCCACAAGCAGCAGGAAAAAGACCCGAACATTTCGCCACCGCGAACACACCACACTTGGGCTTGAGAAGAGTCTTGACAAAGAGATTTGGCGTACAGGTCACCGCCCACTTGCCAAACACTGGTGGAGCGTTTTGCCCGAGGAGCTGGATGGAGAGCGACGAGGACTGGGTGGCCTTCCCCACCAAATGATGCCATCATGACTCCATTGGTGGAAAAGGCTACTCTAACTGCGCTCCAATCCACACCCTCTCGGTTGGAGAATAGGAATAATGACTAATGTTATCAACGGATAATGACTCACCCAAGGGCATTCGATCGTTAGACGGGCGCACCCCCGTCCCGCGAATCACCCAAATTGTCGCTATTCCTTCGCGAACTCTAAATATTTCTAATGAAAAAACTTATATTCCCTTCTTTGCGGATTCTCCGCATCCTTCTCCGCCCCGTCGCATGTTCAGGAACTTAGGTAAGACAACGACAAATATAATTACCTGTCATAAAATTCTCCGAGTGCGTACTCAGGATGTCCTTTTCAGCGTAATACAGAGCGTGGGTTGCATGCCAGTAATTATGCGCGGCCAGCATCCATCCTCGCTAAAAATTCACGTAATTCACGATGTTGTGAGGTATTCAGATCAGACTTCCCTGAAACCAAATTAGTATGAGTCAGAGTTGAGTTTGCGGTGATCAGGATCGAAGGTAACTTGGCCACGTGGCTTTTCCTAGATAGCTGACGTCGGGCTAATACTGTAGCAGTACAGTTCCCTATACTGAGAATTCCCATATACCGGAGGTAGGAGCTGGGCGGGGGATAGCGAAAGCAGCAGACTATGCCACATCATGTCTGTCTGCATGCACGTGCCCCTCAACGAAACGTAAACGTGGCGCGAACAGTCTTGTTCGCTACGGATGATGGGGCGTGTCAGGGAGGGGAATGGATTTTGCCGCAGTACCCACCCGTTTTCGTCATTCGGCAAGCGGTAAATGAATGATATCGTTCGTATTAGTCGTGTTACACCAGTTCTAGTCGCTTACCACTCCAACAACTGACGGAGAGAATGGCGTTGCTCGCCAAATGATAGCCTCACGTGACCGGGCCCACAGTCATCATCCGCGGTGAAACAATGAGTCATTTCCCTCTAGGTGGTCGAAAACGGCGTAGTTAGACAAGGCGAGGTAAGATAAACAAGAAGTCACGTGGTGCAGTCGCCTCGCATGGTCCCCTTCCACTCCCCATCGACCTTCGCTCCACACAAAGCTCCCTATTTGTACCCTTTGCCCCTCAGTACAATGAGGAAACTCAGAAGAAACAAGCTCACTTTCCAGTCTTCTTCGGTGCTCTCCATAAATGCAATACCTTCATCGAATCGCCCTTGCATTTCTATTATGTGTGCACGTGCATGGGTGGACCAGCAGTCGAAGCGATTCAGTTCCAAACCCTGAACTCGCTTTTCATAAAAGCGTTTGGAAAATGTATCATTCATACCCAATAGTACCTTCAAAGCTTCCTTCTCAGCCTCAGCATATTGCTCACACTCCTCCAGTCCAAAAGCTAACATTCCGTGGAGAAAGCTACAAAAAAGGTTTTGTAGGTCCAAAAATCTATGGCTGCTAAATCCGTGCCACCAAAACGTACCTGTAACACGGTTCGGTTCCTTTGTGTTTTGGCATGACAGCCTTGATCGAATCGCGGATATTTTTCGAGTCACCAAGGTAGAAATAGGTGTCGTGAGCGAATTTGATTGCAATAAGGTCGGTTGGATGGTCCTTGAGGATGTCCTCCCATGTCTGAGCAGCTGCAGATTGCTTTCCTGGAACACACGTGAAATCTACATTCATTCAGGAATACTTTACAGCAGGGTTCATTGGGGCCACACTTAGAAATACCTAAAAAATCTGCCGCTGTTCGGCTTGGGAGGAGCATTTTGCACGTTGGCCAAAATCTTTTGTTAATTCCTATTGAATTACATGCCTTACCTTGGTGGGACCTGTAGCTTCTTGACAAGGGTGAACAAAGCTTGTTTTTTGCAGCATTGCTTTCCAGAAATTTGCAGGTCTCCACAGGGGTCATGGGCAGATCGATGGCAACCGTTATTCATACACTTCATACGACTACTATGAGGCGAAGGCGCAGACGCATTACATAGGTGG